AAAAACTGAATAAATATCCCTTGTCAGATATATTCAACGAAATATACAGAAAAAATATTTATCCCCGTATATACACACACACACATATATATATATATATATATATGTGTGTGTGTGTGTGTGTGTGTGTGTGTATACGTCGCTTACTCTTTGTCATATATGTAGAGGAGGTTGTAATGAATTGTTCTCAGTGTAGATTGTATATCACTTGTCTTAAACTAGTAGTGTATTGATTCTGCCATAAGGTGTCTGCTTATTTGAACCGTAATTCTTTTCTTCTATTATATGCTATTTGCAATGTCTTCTTGTTGACTTACCAAATCGAGCAATGACGTTACTCAATTGTATGAACCTTCATTCAACTGTTCAACAATCTTGAGAAAAGATAAATTGACTCGAATATTGAACCAGATTATTTATATGAAAACCAAAGTGGCGATGTAAAGATTTTATTGAGTTTCCTCAAAACATTTTCGTTTTAATCGACGATATTTTTGTTTGTTTTTTTTTGGGGGGGATAATGTCCCGGAAGTCTACCGGATATCCGCGGTGAAAATGTAATTGGTGATTAATTTTCAACTTCTAGGTTCACTCCCGGCTTCACTTTCGCACAAATGGCTTTTCAGCATTAATCTGTCTCTTCTCCCCCACAGTTATAGATTAAATAACAAAATAGACTGGACTCTCTAGACTTGAGTGGCGACCAATTTAAGGAATTCAAAATTCTGAATTCCAACTACGCAGCGCGCCGAAAACACCGGGTTATATAATAAGTGATATACAATCTACAGAGAAAAAAGTTTGGGGACCATTGCAATAGACGTTCAAAAGGAGCCTTGTCGATTATTAAGCTTCAAAACACAAGATAGAGGAGAACGGGGTCAATAGCACTTGGAAACTTTCAGGAGAGACAAGACACATGAGCAACGAAGAAGGTTTCAAGCAAATAGCAATTACAAGGATATATACTTATCTCAGATACTTATCAGAAAACACAGATGAAATTTCTAGAATAGATAAGGAGAGAGAACTTGGATAATCTGACAATCACAGTTTATACTGAAGACAAGAGAAACAGAAGTAAAAACGAGTAACCTACCTGTAATTTACTTAAAGCAACAAAAGTTAGGAAATTATGAAGCAACACGATCGTCCCATGTCCTGAAGGAATACGACACATAAAATGAGGAAGACGACTCTATAATTGATGGTCGTCCAAATGTGGTCTTTATTTCAAGGAAGATGGCATCACACTTAAAATGCTTAAACCAGTTTCAGTCAGTACAATCAAATACTAGTTATTTTCCTTCCACTTGCCGATTTTTTTCAGTAGCCTTGAAACGATTCTGCAAAATTATCAGTCTCAATATTTGTATCCACCATAATAAAATCTTAAATTATATTTGTATCCACTATTATATAAATTAGCTAACTACTACCCCTACTAATACTACTAATAATAATTATACTACTATTGCTATTACTACTAATAATAATAATAAAAATAATGATAATAAAAATAAAAAATTTTGTTAGTCGAAAATGCAGTTTCTGTGATAAATATCCATAAACGATTGACCATCTTGTATCAAGTTGCACGGTATTGGCACCCACTGAATATAAAACCCGGCACGACAGTGTGGGCTATTATCTGCATTGGAAAATCTGCAACACTTACGGAAAAAAAAACTGCAAGAAATTGATATGAATACCACCCAGACCCGGTTACGGAGATCGAACCTGTAACAATTTTATGGGACTTTGCAATACACAGAGACAGAACAATCAAAGCCTGTTAGACATTTTCATGACGGTCGTCTTCGCGTATAGAATCCAGAGGTTGGCAGTGAATATTTCGGAGACAGTAGGAAAGCGTAGTTCAGGTTCACAGTGAATATCGCAGCAAAGTAGCAGAGCGTAGTTCTTCCTTCTGTCATGTTCGCCTGACAAGTTGGCTCTGGTCATTCCGGTAGGAAAAAAAAAAGATGGCCGCTTTTATACACGACGGATACAATGTTCTGCGGCTTCTGATTGGTCAACCTTCTATTGGTAGACTATAAAGGGAATTAAGTCATTTTGACTCGCTCACTAGTTACATATATATATATATATATATATATATATAAAAACTGTAACAAAGCCAACCGCCTAGACATCGTTATTAGAGACCGCAAAGATAACATGTGCTTTCCTTATTGACATGTCAGTCCCTGCAAATTGCAATGTATCTTTGAAGATCTTCAAAAAAACTATTAAAATACAATCACCTTGAAATGGAAATCTCAAAAATGTAACGCATGAAGGCATTAACAATTCCAGTTGTAGTTGGAGCCCTCCGGATTTATTGTAAAAGATTCCAATAGATTCATTGAAGGAATCTATGGTAGCCCATGCCTTAAACAAATACAAAAAATTTTACTAACAAGTACAGACCACACCTTGCGAAGGGCTTTATCTATGTAAAATGTGCGATTTTTTTTCCAAAGACCAGAGAGGAAAATGTCATGATGCCATTTCTGATATTAGGTCTCTGGTTGGGACCCGGAAAGAAATGAGTACACACTAGAAACCAAATGGAACAACAAGAACAACAATAATAATAATAATAATAATAATAATAATAGAGTCATAGCTAGCCTTTAGACACGTAAGCTTTGGAGTAAACGACTGTACAAAATTTAAAACGATTTCGGTACACCCTATATATTTTTCCCTGTTTGTTTAATTAATCTTTTTCAAATGACGCACTTAAACTAAACTCACTCGATATTATTTAATTCCCTCGCCATCCATTCAACAATGAAACTTATCTAACTTCTGCGGGCATTAGGATATACCAAAAATCATTATTTGTAAAAAAAAAAAATGCTTGTTTTTTTTTTTCAGATTCCTCTCAAAGGTAAAAAACCAAAACAATTTACTTCAAATCGTAATTTCTGTCTGAATTTCTGAGATTAGGATTGTGATTATATATCGATCTATTTGGACTGTCATTATCTTGGTTGTTATGATAAGGCAGACACATGAAAAGGCCTTGAAGGGCTGAGATGTTGCAACTCTAACAAACAAGATAATGATACGAGTCTGAATAGATCAATGTACCAGAATTTAATGAGTCGTCAAGAACTACGAAAAAGACAATAATTAACATCACAAACATAAATTGCCTCCGACTGAGCATGAGTTCTGAATTCTAACTTGGATGTACTTCGCGATTATCTACGCGAAAACTGGAAACAGCAGACCGAATTCAAATTCACGGAGAAGCGACTGCGTTTACTTGGCAAAGTGAATATTAAAAATGTCCTTCTCTTTTCTCTAGCCCATCTATAGATAAAATAATTAAGCGAACTGGCTTCTCTAATTTTGGCAGAAGAAATGCATCTTTGAATCCAAAACTGTCGAGAATGCAACATGAAAGGATACTTAGTGTGGTTTACGATTTACAGATATGAAAGAAAGAAAGTTGAGGAGAGCGATGAATATCCACGTTATGAAGAGTGAAGTCTATTTGAAAAAAAAAAAAAACAAAAGAAAATTTATACTCTTATTATAGAGTGAACGAAAATTTTCTTTTCTCCGTATGAGTAACGAATCCCTCGTCGCCAATGTGTTGTAGAGTAGTTTTCACAGTGGAGACTTGTATTTCACTAAGTCGGTCCTAAATTAGGTTCGACGTACAAAACGTTAGGAACTTGAAAATAATAGTTAATGACGCAGCAATCTAGTTGTGGTGGTTGATACTTCAATGTCCGACATCGACTGACACACCAACTCCACTGAGCCCCCCTGGCGACTGCTACAACTACTACTTATTATCTGTGGGAGAGTCTATTAACAATAGAATAGGTATGTTCCGGTATAACAACTCTTTTATGTTCAGCTATTATTACTCTTCTAAGTTATGCTCTATATATTTGAATCTTTCTTATAAAACTGTTTTTATAATGCGGTTTTATGCCGATCGATTAATTAAACGATCCGTCTGTCTGTTAGTTCACTACTCTCGAAATTCAGGAAATAGAGTCAGTCAAGTTATGTGCCATTTGTGATATACGCTTAGGCGATCATGTATCTTTCGATATATGACTGGCGAGGCAGATTTTTTTTCCCGCAGCCATTTCTTTCTGCGGTAGACCAGTTGCCATCCAAGGCTATAGAACCCGATCTGTCCTGCTATTTACCCATAGAAGAGGATTCATACCTTTCCCAAAGGAATTAGCACGTAAGTGAATGTCATGGATTCGACTGGAATTCGAACTCGGCTCTCCGATTCCTGAATCCGAGCCGCTATCCATTTCACCACCGTGATAGGAAATAGTGTGTTGAAATTAATGGATCAAAACAGGAAAAAAATATCTACTTCACTTTTATAACAAAAAAAAACTGTTAATGTTATCAATTTCAGTTAATTTTGAAACATCTCTCAAACATGATTAATTAAGTCTCTTTTTCTTTTTTGTTTTCTGTCTCTCCTCTGCAAATTTAATTCACGAATATCCAAGGAATTAGGAGAGTTTAGTCGTTAGTCTAAAACTAGTAAGTTCTCCTATCGAGATATAAGACGCATGGCAATTTTTCGATAAAGGTTTTGGGGGCGGTAAATGAAGTATATTCACACTTTATATCTCGTGAGCATACATCTGTCAAAAGAAAAGACCGTTTTACACGGCTTCTCAGTCTTTTGAAGAAGAGTAGAGATTTATCCCTTATTTTCTATTTAGGATTGGGTTTCAGGTTCTTTCTAAGATCTTCTCTTTCACTCCCAGTACTTCCTTACATCTTAGTGGCATTATCGCCTTACTTGAAGTGAATTGATTAAAAACATATAATTTTATCTTCCATAGGTTTACAATTATCCCTTTGTACAGTAAAAGAATAATATTTAACGAAATTATATAGAAAGATAATGAGAAATATAAACTAATTTGGTCGACGTCATCTTTTATCTGGATGATCATGGGTCTCCACAACATCCTATCCTTTTAGCTCTAAACAAT